CTATGTTCCCCATCATGCAGCCCCACCTAGGCACAACAGAGAGGTCAGCACGCCGGTCTAACTCCTATGGCGCAGGGGTCTGGGCCCATCGCCCATTGCACACCTGCATGTTGCGAACGCGGCCGGAAGCAGACCTAGCCTCCCTAATACAAGAGCAGGCGTTCAAGTCCAATCCGATGCGCGCCGCTCAGTTGCTGGCGTCAAGAAGGCTTCGGCTGATACCACGACGTCGAGTGCCCATAACTGTTCCCGCGTAGTTGGTTAGTGCGTATAGGCCAGTGGCCAGACTCAGATCAAATACCAAGATCTCGTTAAGCGTGTTATTATGAAGTAACCGCGAACGCCGACCAGGGCCAGGCCCACCTCTCGCCTAGGTGGTCTCAACTTGCCCTGTCGCTCCGCCTCAAAGTAACAGTCGGGGGTCGTCGGGAACCCAGGCCCACCTCTACCGGGATGAAGCCACCTGTCCTTCCAGTCCCCACATCGGAATCACGTGCGGGTACCCAACGAGCCGACCCGACTTTAGTCACCATCTGTATAATATGTATATATGTATAGTATATACCCGTGATCACCTCCCGAGTGATCACGACCCGACAGTATAGCAAGGCAGACTGACAAGAATGTAGGGCCAATGATGATAACTAGCATCCTATACTAGGCATTTAGGATTGCGGGTAAGGTATCAATGACTATAGCAACAATGACAGGCTATGCAACAGAATAGGAGTAACCGAACAGTAACATGCTACACTACTCTAATGCAAGTAGTATAGAGAAGAATAGGCGATATCTGGTGATCAAGGGGGGGCTTGCCTAGTTGCTCTGGCGAGAAGGAGGGGGTCGTCAACACTGTAGTCGAACTGGGGTCGCTGGCAGTCTCGAGGTCTACCGTAAAGAAGTAACAGAGAGGGAACACAATAAATAACAGAGCAATCAAAGCATCACAAAGCGTAACAAGGCAATACGCGGTGTTCGATGTGCCCTAACACGATAGTAGGTGATACCGGCGAAAGGGGGAAACATCCGGGAAAGTATCCCCGGTGTTTTGCGTTTTCGGACAGATGAACCGGAGGTGAAAAGTTGCAAGTTCACTATGCTAGGGACATGTGGCAGACGAACGGACAGTGTATCCAGATTCGTCTCGTTGTTCTGAGCAACTTTCATGTACAAAGTTTTTCCATCCGAGCTATGGTTTATTTTATATTAATTTAAAAAATATTTAAACATTTACTAGAATTAACAGAATTAATTTAATCCTAAAATGCATTTATGACATCAGCATGACATCAGTGGTCAGTTTTGACCTTTGACCAGTCAAGCTGACAGGTGGGTCCTGTTTGTCATTGATTGAGACTAACTAATCAAGATTAATTAGATTAGCTAGATGATTAGGTTAATTAATCACAATTCATTAAGTTAATTAAATGATTAATTGATTAATTAACTTAATTATATTTTTATTGTTATTAATATATTTTTAATCTCTTTTCTTTTAAAAAAACGTTCTGGGGCTTGAGGCCCCACTTGTCATAGGGCCAGCGGGCCTTAATGGGCACGGTGCTAACGGGCGGTAGTGCAGGCGCCCAAACGGATGCATGCCCGAGGGGCACTGAGCACGCACGACGCACGCCGGCGTCGGCGGGTGGCCTCCGGCGAGTAGTGAGGAGGGGGCGAGGCCGTGCGTGGCCATGGCAAGGGCGCGCTCGTGCGCGGCAACATCGAGCAGAGGGACTTGCGCGGGCACGGGCGAGGTAAAGGTAGGTGGGGGTGGAGGGCACGACCGTTGGCGCGTGCAGAGGCACGCCGGTCAGGGCGAGGCCGCGGCGAGCAGGGGCGTGAGTGCGTCATGCGCGCGGTGAACGGCGCCGGGGTGGAGAGGAAAGGGAGGAGGGGCTGCTGCTCACCGGGCCCTGCAGATGTGCGTACGCGGGCTCGGGGAGGAGGAGGAGGATGGGCGAGGTCGAGGCGGAGGGGATCCGGCGGTGTCGGGCGACGAGGCGCGGTGTCGAGGTGGCTCCGGGGACGGTGAGCGGCGGCGGTGTTGGTGGAGATCCGATGAAGGTGCGATGATGCCCGCTAGGGAGGGGGACGACGTGGGCGTCGCGGAAGTGGGGGAGTCCGGCAACAGGGTAGGGGCGCTGGCGATGTGGGGCGATGGGCTCGAGGCAGTTGCCCGATCCAGATGGGGAGGAGAAGGGGATCGGGGAGAAGTGGGGGGATAGTGGGCGCTAGGGTTCGGGGACAGGGGATAAGGGAGTGAAGGGGGCGGCCTGGGCCGGTTTGGGCCGGCCATCCAGCTGGGCCAGTGGGCCAAGGCCCTTGGGGAGCCGGGGGATTTTCTTTTCTTTTGTTTTCTTTTTACTTTTTATTTATTTTTCTTTTCTGTTTTATTTCTAGTTTCTCTTTCATTTAGTTTTTATCTAATATTAAAATGATCCCTAATTTAGTAATACATTAAAACCCACTACAACAAAAGGTTTTACCCCAAAACAATTTAGTTTAGTATTTTGTTAATTATAAAAGCATTTAAATATTGGTTTTTGCTACTGTTTTATTCACCTAAGGGTATTCAAACATTTTATAAAAATGGGGTTTCTCCACCATTATTAGCTAGGGATTATTTGTCTCAAATAGAACATTTTAGTTTTAATGTTTGAGAACTTTTGCCGTTTGACTTGATTTTAAATTTTGAATTCGAATGGGATTGAATCATCGGGAGATTGACGACAGTAACCGAGGTGACGTGGCATCACTAACAAAGGTTCACTGTAGCTTAATTATCCGGGCGTCACAGTATGTTACACACTTGACAAGGAACCATTGCAAAAATGAAAAATGAACAAAAATGTATGCTTTTTTAATGTTCACAATATACTATGTACAAGCCTTAGAAATTTCAATCGGTTTTGGAATACAAATGGAGAAAAAACTCATATGTGAATTGTGCCATTTTCTGCTTTACCTTTTCTAATATTATTCGTGTCCAATTTGTCTTTTTTCCCTCTTTCTCTCTCTCTATATATATGTTTATTATTTTGATTTGGTATTTGAGTTATTAAGGCTCTAGTTGCCACCCAATGTTAATGCTTTCGCAAACCCATTACCGACAAGGATCGAAACCTACCAAACCCCTCCCCCCCTTAACGGCTAGGGCAAACTCTTCTCTCTAGGCTTCGACGGCGAGCCCGTGGATTCACCTCCCATCTACCGGCCACTCCCCTGGCCAGTTGCGGGGAGGAGAACTGCTCCGTTTAGTAGTTTAGGTTAGGGTTTCTTTAGTCGTCACAAGTGTGCCGCCTATTCTTGGGAGTTTGTCTTCCGGGCTTCGGTCCTCCTCGAGTTCGTTCATCTGCGCATAGTCGTTGAAGCTTCGGTGTAGATTCATGCTGTCCTCTTAGGGTGGTGATGTTAGGGTTTTATTGTCGTGTGACGAGAATTGATGTCAGGTGCTTCAGATCTATTGAAGGATTTTAACTGCGACTCCAAGATGTTGGTCCTTAGGGGCAGGGGCAGGAAGACTTCCTTGCTGTTATCGACAAGGCCAAGCCGGCTCCGGTAGGGGAGCGACGAGAGCCGACACATCAGCGGCTCGTTCTGACGGTGGTAGTGATTGTTCAGTGGTCTCGGAATCTTGATACATTTTTATTAAGTTTGAGGTGTTTTGTGCTTCTGATGAATTTCAATAATAAATCTGGATCATTTTGTGAAGAAAAAAAAACCCTACCAAACCCAACCCACGTCCTAAAACAAAACTATGGAAAATCAACTCGGTCTACCCAATTTGCCGTTGTTGGGTGCCAATTTTTGGCAAAGCACTCCCAAATCCACCCAAATCCAACGACGCCCATCGGACAGCTCCCGCCGCGTGCACATCTTTTTGGGGGGGTGAAACTAGAAAAAACAACACCTCACCTCAGCCTTCTATTTCCTCCTTTTTCCCTCTCTCCGGGCTCGCGGCGGCGCACTCCGGGCGGCGCGCCACCTCGAAGCGATTCTTCTCCCGGAGTCCTCCTCCTCTTCCCCGTCTCGACCAGACCGGCGAGGAGCGGAGATTCGTCCGGACCTGCCTGCATTCGTTCACTTTGCTGGTGACGAACCCTAGCGCCCTTGGATTCTCCCGGGACTTCTTTTTCCTGTTATCTGCTCTGCTTTGACCAGTCTATTTCGATTATTATTGCCTAGTTTCTCGCGGATTCGCAGTACTGGTAGAACCATACGAGTTTATTTTCCAGTAGGTCTGGGTTTAACTAAACCCCCATTCCACACAGTTAAGGCCGCCCCTGTATCTGTATCTGTGTCTGTATTTTACAGCAAGTTATTGCTACTTTCATATTATTTGTTGAGGAGATTATGGTGATGTTTAGTGTAAACTTCTAACTGTGGCACCCCCAAACATGCGGTTCTTGGCCCGCCACTGTCTGCAAGCGCAGTTTTAGCTGAATAAATGGCCAACTGGTCATCAATTTTCAGCTGTGAATATCGCGTCGTAACCCATATGTTTGCTAGAATGAGTTTCGACCAAGCAAATGATGAGGAGCTTAGTGTGTAATTTTTGTGTTTTGAAAGTCTCTCTTGCACAGCAGCATGCTTCCTTGCAGGCCCTTGGCCTTAATTAAGCCTTTAACTAGCAAATTCTCCGGAAGACATCATGCTGGGCGTAGGAGCAAACTCGCCATTTTTTGTTGGCTGTTTGGAACAGATTTTGTAACGCGAAAAGTTGTCTGTTTGATTAAGGGGCGTGTCTAAATAAACCGTGATAAGTCATAACATCTCCTTTTCGTTTGGAAGGAATGCGTGCCTTCATTACTGTCACTTTGTTATACTGACCAGACTGATGTCAGTGTTTTGTACTAAGTGCAGAATTTTACATGTGCAGATCCATTATCGTCGTCAGAAAATTCAGAACAGTGGCACAGATCAAGGATATATAGTGCACGCTCCACTTTGCACCTAGCAGGGCAATATACTGCAGGTTGTGTAGTGAAGTGAAGGTCAGGATGCGGTTTGCGGTGACAAAAGTGTGCGCTAGTGGAGCAAAGGCTCGTGCTGGGTTGCTTCAGATTGGAAGCAGCGGTGTTGAGACGCCAGCGCTGCTTTTGTCCACACGCAAGGGGCTGCCGGCGTTTATGTCTTCTGACCTGCTTTCCTCCCTCCCCCTTCCAGACTCCCTCCTCCTCAATGTCTGCCCAACCCACTTGTAAGCGCCCCACCCCCCTTTGTTTCTTTTCTGTGCTGGCCATGTATTCTGTTTGACAAAATATCATCCAAGAGCTAAAACCTCTCTCCTGGGACAGGATGGCTCCCTTGCTTCTGAGTATATTTGACTAAATGAGTTTGGTCACGTTTCTTTTTGGTTTCACCAGTATAGAGGTTCCTCCATCAAAAACCATATCTAATATTGGTGGTTTGCATCATATGCTGGGTCTGCCTGATCATATCCTCGTGGCCGCAGCTGGTGAGTCTACCGAGTGTTTACCATCAAGTGATGCCACCAATAAATTTGGTGCATCTTTTGAAACACCTGCGGGTCGTAAACTGGTCGGTGGATGTAATCCTTTCTTCAACTTTCAAGAATACATATTTTGATACGTGCATCTGAATTCATTTTCCTAAAATATTTTAGGTCAAACCATCAGACTATATGGAGTTGATTTCCTGCTTGCAACCTAATTTGTGGGCAAGCTTGGCAGATGAGGTTCCAGCCTGGGTTAATGAGAAACGGAACAAAACATCTGTTGAGCGAACACTACGCTGGCTTGACGCATGTATTGCTTTGGATGCGGTATGATGTTAAGGTTTTTCCACCTGAACTTTTTTTTTCTCCAGAATTTTGTTTATATGTTTCTTTTGCTATATTGGAAGGTTTGCAAATTCCTTTTGAATTCTTTAGAGCACAGGTAAAAAATAAATGGATCCTAACTGACACTTACAAATAATTTTCAAGCTCAGTAAGCCCATGTGACACTTGACTGCACTACTAGTTACCTCTGTTGCAAGCTTCACAACAGGAAAACTGCGAAATTAGATGTAATTTTCTCTTGTAATACCGCTTTAGGACCCATGTGTTGCTTTTTTCTATATACGGATGGAAATATTTCTTTTGGTCTTATACAGCTTTTATTTATTTTATTTTATGTTCCTCATGATTTCAGGCTTCTGGGAGAAACTCTTTAGGTGTAGTTGTTGGGGGGTCTAGTATAGAACAACGAAAATTGTGTGCCACTGAAGTATCGAAGAGGAATGTGTCAGGTATAGTTTTATTTATCAACTCCTATGGCTAACCTTCAGTAGTTTATTGCTTATTTACTCATTCCCTTAGATGAGGGTGAAGCCTAACCTTTTGCTCAAATTTTTTACTTTATTAATTCAGAAAATGGTTTGATGCCTATTTACTTTGAAAAGCCCAACACATGCTGCTTCTACTTATCTTTGTGGCAACATTGGATACAGGCTTTTGGATTGGAGGGTTTGGCCTTGGAGAGAGTGTGGAAGAACGTTGCAGTTTACTCAATGCAGTAACAGTGAGAATCATGTTCTTTTTCTATAAATTATTACTGCAAAGATGACAATATAATGCCCTTATGTAATTTGTGCAAAGTTGCACCTCTCCTGCATTTGCTAATTTCTCAAGTGTAAGATTAATTCCACTTGTTGAAAAACATGTTTCAAATGAAAACCTGCAAGACAAGCATATTTAAAAAACAAATAATGCATTTTAAATCTGTCAGCATAAGTTGCTTGGCTGACTTAGTCTAATGTTTCATGCTAAATATTCTTTGATTGACCTTGCTGAAATAAGTCAGACAATCTGTTGACGTTGCATGTTAGAGCTCAGGCTATTTTATGAGTTCTAATTAATTTTTTCAAGGTAATGTTGAATGGTTACTTTCATGTGGGGACAGTTACATCAACCTGTATTGTGTTATAATGATATAGCACCATGAAGGCTTCAAGCAAAAAGCAAGAATTTGGTGTAGGATTGCTCCTGTGGCCCACCTCTGTCTAACCTTTGGTTGTGGTTACCAGCGGATTCATTTTTTCAGGCTTCCAAAAGTATTATTTAAATTTGTTGAGAAGTGTTCTCTGTCTTGTGTTCATGTGGATTTAGCCATTTGGTTTCTGTTTCAGGATTGTTTGCCATTGGAGAAACCTCGGATTGTCTCTAGGCTTGGTCTTCCAGGTGCCTGTGATACATCATTTTTTTTCTTAGAAGACGGCTTGTGATACATCTTTGATGTGTTAATATATTTAAGTTAATTCTTATGGATCTTATCTAGAGGTTATTAGTTGTTTTGTTGTCTTCTCTGCTCAACTGGACATGTCTGAAAGTTCTGCTTTCTATTTGGTCTCACACATAGTGAGTTTTTACATTTTAGTCTTATCATGACAGCATCACAATTCACAAGCTAGAGACTAGAGCTGGTGAAGTTACACTAATGTATAATCTATTTTATAATGTCTGTTGTATTCTGCACAGCGTGTTAGTAAGTAATGGTTGTTATTTTTAAGTAGATTGACTCATGTTTGTTTTCCAATATGTTAAGCTTATCCTAGCCCTTTCTGAGTTTTGTTTGTATTGAAACACTATTGTTGCATCGTTTGTCTGTAACGAGTTTGACAGTTTCAGTACTTTGTATGTCTTCCAGAGGAGGTCTTGGAGGGTGTAGCTTCTGGCATCGACCTTTTCGACTCCACGTATGCGAATTCATCTTGTCTTGTAAAATTTGTAGTTCCATTAGCTTGTTGGCCAAATGTTTTTATTTTCATACTTCTGAAATGGCAGGTACATTTACCAACTTACTATGGGTGGTTTTGCACTGATCTTCCCCATTGACATGGTTGAAAGAGAGATGCAAAATGGTGCATTTGACAGTAGTGCTGGAGATTCTGCAAAGATTAACCTGCGTGCAACAATATATCGGTAGGTACCTGTTGTGCTGAAATACCACAGCATGTTATTTTCATTAAATTATATTTTGTGCATCTTCACTTGCTTATTGAAGTTCTATTTGAATTTTTGTTCATGGATGTTGACTAATGACTACTTTAGCCTGCGATATGTTTCAAAAGATATATGTGAGTTTACTAGTTAGTTGAATTTCACTTGAAAATTAGAAGCTCAGACAAGGTTCAGAAAACTACCGGTTTCTCCTACTACACATGTAAATATAAATGTGTACTCCCTCCGTTCGAAAATACTTGTCATCAAAATGGATAAAAAGAGATGTATCTAGAACTAAAATACGTCTATATACATCTCCTTTTATCCATTTTGATGACAAGTATTTCCGGACGGAGGGAGTACGTAGTATCTTCTTTATAAAATGCAATGAAGTATTGAAACTACTATTGATGTGCCCTGAAGTGAAAAAAAAGCAGGGGTATTGATCCCAATTATAATTCCCAGTGCTTCACAGATGTTGAATACGTCAGAATGTAAAATCTGTTGATCCTTGTAAAGTGACTCAGAATTTTGGGTATATTCCTTCAGGAAAGACACGTCACGGATAGTCGATGGCTGTACCTGCTTCACGTGCCAGAATCACACCCGTGCTTACCTCAATCATCTGATCAACGTCCATGAGATGCTGGCTCAGATTCTACTGGAGATGTAAGCCGAGTCGAAACCCAGTCATGCATTTCCGCAGAGCAACAAGATGTTACGACTGAATGGCATCTATTTTTACCAATTTTTTGCAGACATAACACCCATCACTATCTCCGGTTCTTCCGGTCGATACGGGAGGCGATCAAGGCCGGAGAGTTCGATATCTTCTGGAAGCAGTTTGTTGAGAACAGGCGCTCCCAGATTGCTGCTGCTGCGATGTAGATCTTGGCCGTGCAAGATTTGTCCAGTTGTGATAAGAAAAACTCTCCACGTGTGCTGTGGTCGGGAGGTTTTCTGAAGGTGGAGACTTTTGACAATGTGGGAGAACCCGGAGACAGTTTGTCGTCAGGTTGGCCTGTCAGAGGAACCTGGCAGGGTTAAGTGGACATTCATCAGTTCTGGGGCTTTAACAGTTGTTAGTTCACTGTATGCATACTCGATCAGTCTCAGGATTAAGCGTTTGTGATAGCTGCATTTACTTTTAAAGGTTAAGGTTTTCTGTTGGCTTGTGGTTAGGTGTTGTGCTGGTTTTCCTAATGATAATTTGAAAAGGATGGGCTGGAAAGGGGATGACCTCTGATTTTTTCTGGGGAGAGCATGAGGCTCTAGGGTCCAGAACATTTGTTCTTTGCCTTTCCATTGGCAACATATGTGTGGAGCTCGGTGGAAAGGGCATGGGGGTGCTAGAGCCTAGGGCATATTTGTTCTTCACCTCTCCTTCGGCGAAATATGCGCGGCGCGTAACACGTGTTTCGCCGGGGGATATACTCTATGCCTGCAAATCTTGTTGGCCTTGTTGCCTTCTCTGGTAGAGACAGAGAATTTAGCTATGGTAGGTAGGTGCCATGGCTGCTTTTGGGGCTTTATGGAAAACTAGGAATAGAATAGATCCTGTTTTCAGGATAGAAGACCCTTTTTTTTGGGGGACTGCGATAGCCAGCGAAGCGACCGTTCGCTGGCTAGGATGGCATTTGCGAACGGCGCGGCTCGCAGTTTTATTGTTTTCCCCCGCTGTATATATGTGAGTAATAAGTTTTGTTTTCGGTATTTGGGTGGTTGCTCTTTGTACCTGGTGGCCTGATATGATATGGTGGCGTGAGTGGGCGTGGCTACTTTTGCTTTCAGCCAAAGTTCGCACCACCAAATATTCGGCTGGCCTAAACTCTGGATAAGGTTCTGCTTTTCTGTCATTCGGCCAATGTCTGCAGGAAAATTGAATTAGAGAGAGCAAGGTTGGCATGGCAAACATTTTGCCAAACATCCAAACAAGAAATTTTTGTCAATCAACCAAACATAACCCCGCCTTCCCATACAAAATGAAACTTCTAAATTGTCAAGGTTGCTTTTGGACACAAGCCAAACATACCCTCCTTCCAATTT